TCTGATGCTCTTGAGTCTGTGAACTGCCTCCTTTGTGTTGGATTTAGCACAGTATCTATGTGATAGTAAGGTTTTCATCAGTCATCTCAGTACCTGAAGATCAAAGATAATAGGAAGGCGCAGGAATCAAGGAAACAAAATGATTTAAAAGGAATCACACACAGTTGTGCATGATCAACAAAGAAAAGTACACATAGACTTGTCATGATGAGGATTAGATAAGAGGAAAGACATTGGCATGGCCACATGCCTGTCTAAGAAATGTAGTTTGCATGAGGTGGTGATGGAGAACCTCTTACATTCCCTATCAGGAAAACAGATGCTCTTTGACACGGATTTGGAAATTCCAGGAAGAGAGGGGAAATAAGAGAGGTTGGAGCTGTTATTGCTCTTAGACATTTGGAGAAAGTGCAGTGCTGAGTTGAAACAGAAACCTCTGACATGGAGCTGATCAACTGATATACTCAGAAATGGATGCTGACCGGCTGGTGCTGGTAGATCATGGGTGCAAAGGGCTACATAGTGAAGCCAGTTCTCGAGTGCTGAGTGGAGAGACCACTACCTGTGGCAGGGACAGAGATAGGAGGAGCTTCTCATGGAAGGGGTGTTGTCCCTTCTCCCCCATCCAACTCTTAAGACTAGCTTTATCTATCACCCTCACTATGTCTCATTTGAAAGACTCACAGAAAACTAACTGGCAAAGAAGAAATAGTTTGAGTCTTACAAGCATTTGAAAGCATATGGTAGATTACTTGAAGCTTAATACTACTGTATTGTTTCAGAGAAAATTTTTGAAAATTGAGAGCATAATTTGTCTACTAGTTTTATAGGGTAAGTTAGAATAAGTCAGCTCCAGATTCAAGTTCTATAAATGTGTCATCCATAATTGCAAACACCCCAAAGTTCAAAATGGTATGTTTACCCTGCCTTTAGACACCCCATCCCAGTAGTATACAGATGAGATTATAGGAATGTTGCTCCCCAGCCCTGCTGGGGGTGTTATATAATCTCTGTTATATTGTCTTTCTGCAAGTCTGAAAAAAAATGAATTCTTAAGAGGCTCCTCAGATACCTCAGGTTTTAGGTATTAACAAGAGTTTGTTATGTTTTGAATTGTTATGTTTTAAAAGTCAAGGTGTGCCAGGCATGGTGGTGCATGCCTGTAATACTAGAGACTCCAAGGCTGAGGAGTATCACAAGTTCAAGGCCATCCTCAATAGCTTAGTAAGGCTCTAAGCAAATAAGTGAAACTGTCTCCAAAAATAAATAAGTAAATGTGTTATCATGATGCTTTCCCATGCACTTCATCAAATCTGTGACCTAGCAACTTCATTACTAGGTATTTATCCTTTGTAAATGAATAGATTACTCCCTTCCCCCAAAATCTTGTACAAAAATTACCATACTGGCTTCAATTCACAGTATACAAAAACTGGAAATACACAGATGTCTAGAGCAGAAGACAGGATAAACAGAGTACTGCCTAGCCCTGGAAACAAATGAACTGCTGGTGCTGCAGCAGTAGGGTGAGTGTCTTTCGACACTGTGTGGGAAAGAAATGGAACAGAAAATCGCATGTAATTCCATTCTCTGAAATTCTAGAATAGGCAAACTGAATTGTGGTGTGAGAGAAGCAGATGGGTGATGGGTACTTAAGGCACAAAGGATTTGATTGGTAGAAATGTCCCATCTCTTGATGTACATTCATCAAAAATGATCCAGTGTTATACTTAAGACCTCAGGATTTCACTGCACGTATAAACTAAACCTAAAGTTTTAAGTGATTTCAAAATATGGGACAAAGTTATGTGAGTGCAGGTAATCACTTGAATTCAGCATTGAAAAATATGATTTTATGACCTTATCTTAGTTGTGTAAGAGTGGTTTCATTTGTTACAAATGAAAAAGTCAGTGTTGCATTTTTAGATATGCTGATCCCTGACAGGGTTCTATAAAATCCATTGCAGAATGTCCAGAGGTAAGATGTGTAGCCTCAGGATGTCTCATCTGATCAGTTGTTTTCTTGGAGAGAAGTGTAACATCTGGCCGATAGAAGCTCTGGAGCTTCTGCCTATAGTCAAGTAGCAAGTTTTCTTATCTGAACTTGAACTTGAAAGAGGTAGCACATACATCCAGTTGTGTTCAGGTAGTTACAGATGCCTACTTTCTGTCAAAAGCAAGACAGAAAAGTTGAAATCATCAATTCTTTGTGAACTTAATTCTATAATGAACTTGATTGTCTCCTGAGGCACACGAGAGTCTCATGCTCTGTGAATACCACTGGTGGTGGTGGTAGCCTGAGTGGTGGGTGTGGTAAAGAGCAAGAGTGAAGCCCATTCTGGAGTGCAAGCATCTGGGTTCAAATTCCAGCTCTGCCAGCTAAACCCATTGCTTTTCTGGAAGGCATTAGTATAGCCTGCCACCGTAGCCCTGGCCCAGCATAACATAAATCGCTGCCAGCCAGGAACAACATTATGGCAGATGACACCGACACCTCTTAGTGAAGGCTTGGCTACTGTGATTTTTATTCTCCTGTTGAAGTGATCTCTGTTCTATGTGAGTGTCCTGCACACTGCAGAAGGCAGGCACACATGCATCCGCTGGCAGTGTACGCGTGTGCATTTCTTCCATCAGCATTCTCTTTGGCTTTCTGCTGTGTTTGACGCTGAATTACCACCTCATGAGTAGTTATTTTTGTCATTCGAAAGAAGCAGTTCCATTTAAACATGTTTTCAATTACCTGTTCTTTCCAAAGAAGACTCTTGAATCTTTCTTTCTGTTTTTGATGGAGGTAAATTTGCCCTCTTTTTGCTGACACTTTCAAACTTGGGCCTCTTCTTTCTCACACTCGATGGGAGGTATAACTACTGCTGCCTTGGGGGGGAAAATGTATATAGAGTATAATATGTAATGCTTGTATTCTTTAATTATGGCATACAGATTTATTTGAACCAACTTGATAAACTTTTAAGATTAATAGTTTTTCATGAACAAGTTTAAGATGTTTTATAATGAATTGCAAATTCTTCCCTTTTATTTTTAACCAGTAATTTCTGTGTCTTTCAAAGAAATCCTATTCACTTTTTGTTTTCATTCATCTTTATGCATATTGATGGGGTCAAGGAATAGTGATCCCACATGTGCAAGTGTCATCTTGCGAAGTACTCTACTGGAAGCAGACTACAATTAGGAGTGGCCTTGATATTTTCATCATCTTTTTTCTTTAATTCTCGTGGTTTGTTAAAAGCCCATTCAGCAGTTATGTTTGCTACAAATGATAGCATATGTATATTCACTAATGCCCAAGATCTTTGTATCATTATCTGTGTAACAGAAAAGGAGGAGGCCAAAAAGCTTTCACTTGTCCTCATTCTGCCCTTTTTTTTTTTAATATTAAATCCTGAGAATATGGTGGGGGGAAGGCACTTAGTTTTATCCTTATCACCATCTTTAGGGACAGACTTTAGAGATGGATCTTCATCTACTGCTTCCTTTTGCTGTGGCTAAAGTGTATCCTCTTGGACTTTGACATTTGGGATTTGGAATTAAAGATTTTTCACATCTGTCGTTTAAGACAGTGACCATGGGTTTAGCCAGAAATAAATAAAAAATAGGCTCTGTTTTAGGGGGATGTACTTTAGAGGTGGTGATGTTCAGCAGACTGATTCAGGACAGAAACAGTATAGTCTAGGGATGGCCCCATGAGAAAATAGCATTGAATGGATTTTGTTGGATAGGTAGGATTTGGAAACAGGAGTAGAATGACATGAAAAGAAGCATTGGCAGTAAAAGAATTTGCACAAATGAGTGACAAGAGGGAGTGATCTGGTTTGACTTTTAATATTGGGCAAGTATGTGAAATTATAGATAGAAGATTAATAGGTTTAACTTTAGGTGGTAGTTTGGGGCCAGATCATAGGTAACTCAAACCTTATATTTTTAGATAGTAAGAAACTGAAAGGGTTTGAGACATGAGATTGTTGAGAAACATTGACAGTTGTGTTTGGGGCTATTTTTCTGACCCCTGAGTATAATTTGGGTACATAACTGTCACCATTAATAGATTATTCAAACTTGGGCCTCTTCTTTCTCACACTGGAAAAAGAAAAAAGATGATGAAAATATCAAGGCCACTCCTAATTTACAAATAAGTACTGTATTAATAATGACTTGAACAAGGTCAACAATAGTTAATGGAAGCTGGGCATGGTGGCGCACAATGCCTGTAATTGCAGTGGCTTGGGGGGCTTAGGCAGGAGGATCACGAGTTCGAAGCCAGCCTCAGTAACAGCAAGGCACTAAGCAACTCAATGAGACCCTATCTCTAAATAAAATACAAAATAGAGCTGGGGAAGTGGCTCAGTGGTCTAGTGCCCCTGAGTTCAATCCCCAGTACCCCCCTACCACCACCACCACCACCCGCAAAAAAAAAAAAAAAAAAAAAAAAGTTAATGGAAGGGTAGAAAGAAGCCAAGGTAAAATAAAGTGGCCAAATGTTTTGATGATCAGAGATGATCTGATTTTATTTCTGTCTTTGTAGCATAGTTGTTATTAGTGCCCTTTTTAGCTTTGGAAATGTTTCCTGGTTGGGAAAGTAAGTCCTGTGGCAACCCTAAAGATAGTGTTTTCTTTAGCAGTGCTGGGGATCTGTATTTCTTTTAATGAACATATCTGAGTTTTGGAATATTCATTGAAGTAATACATTCTAAAGAAAACATACTATATTTGATTTTTGTCTCACATTTTTATTTATTTCCATTTCAAGGCAGCCACTGGCCATTTGAGAATGTCTTATGTAGCCACATGCCATCCCTGAGGAAATAGGCTTTAGAATGTCAGAACCTTAGGATTCCCAGGTCCCAGGTTTTTGTTTGTTTCCTCCTGATTGAAGTAGGTCACTATAGTCACATGGTATCTGATTTAAGGCTTGTGTGTAGATCTAGCTATATTGTTTGTGGAAAGTCTAAATGCTTACTGTTCTTGTGTTCTTCCACACACAGGCAGAAGGAGAAGACAGCCTGAAGAAGATGCAGCTGATGGAGCTTGCAATTCTGAATGGCACCTACAGAGATGCCAACATTAAATCACGTAAGGATGAGACTGAGGCCTAGGGTTGTAGCTGTCTCTGTTGTTTTGTCTACAAACTTCTTTTCACAGCATAACACATGAGCAATTAAACTGAAGAATTGAAGTAATTGTGTCATTGAACAGGGGAGCAACAGTACTTTTTTTTTCATGAATTACTATCCTCTCTTGATTTTATTGTATGCCAGCATATCGAAGCTTTAGGTTTGTAAATACTTCATTTTTCTGATGACATTTTGATATCCAAATTCAAGAAATTTCCTGTTCTGTACAGCTTCAAGGCCTCCAGTTTATTTTGTTGTATTTATGCACAATACAAGACTTTGAAAGCTTTTTTAGAAGTTTAAGTGTTACTGGATGAATGACCCTTCTGTTGAGTTCTTTCCTGTCCCTTTGCTTGCATGTTCCCCCTCCGGTGTTTTTCCCTGTTGAGTTCACACGTGAGTTCACAGAGATCAGTGGGTGGTGATAACTATTTCCAGTCTTCTATTTTTCTTCTTAGAAATCTGTGCATGATTTTAAAAGCTATGAGGATTTCTTTTTTAAATTTAAAATGAAATTTATATTTTGAGATAATCTAATGGTCACACATCATATAAGCATAATATTATTTTTCATTTACTAATGATTTTAAGAAATAAATTTTAAAGTCCTTGCCAACTTTCTAACATCTAGGCGACTCATTGAGTTTAGAAGTGTAATTATTTTACAAGTGGTAATTTGTAATTGACTTTAATTTATGCATGAGAATGTGAGCATATCCTTAATGTCATGAAGTTAGGATCTTTTTATATTGTTTTTTTCCTAAGAAGTTAACTACCAGTGCTTCAGGATATACATATAATCATCTAGTGGTTATTGGTCTGACTTAATACAATGAAAATTATTCTTTCTTTTAATTTGAAACTGAAGTTACACTTACAAAATATACCAAAACTGTTTCTGTGGACTCCAAATTACAAATTTTTTTGTAACATCTTTTAATGCAAATGTTTTCTTGTGCTTCTGCATGCACCTTTAGTTTCAAGAAATCTTAAAAAGCAGATATATCAAATATATAAACTAAATATAACATTTTATTTCATTCATTTTTTTTACAGTGGCTTTTAATTTTTGCACATTTGTTCTTAATCACATTGGGAAAGGGAAAGCTGATTGCGTTTGATTGGTGTGCTTTGGCATTTTGTGTGATCAGTGCATGTACTAATGATTTCCTTTTATTTTTCTTCTTTCCTGCTTTTTTCTTTCTTTTTCCTACTCCTCTCTCATTTTCCCATATTTTATACTGCTGTCCCTGTACTTCTTCCTGAATTTCTTTGCTTACTGTAGCAGCCCTTGCCTTTTCTCTTGCAGCAACAGCCCAGGCTGCTCCAAGGATCATAACTGGGCCTGCGCCTGTCCTCCCACCAGCTGCCCTGCGTACTCCTACGCCAGCTGGCCCTACCATAATGCCTTTGATCAGACAAATACAGACCGCTGTCATGCCAAACGGAACTCCTCACCCAACTGCTGCAATAGTCCCTCCAGGGCCCGAGGCTGGGTTGATCTACACACCCTATGAATACCCTTACACGTTGGCACCAGCTACATCAATCCTTGAGTACCCTATTGAACCCAGTGGTGTTTTAGGTAAGTTCTTCTCCCTGGTGGTCAGTGATATTCTTCATACATTTTGTTGCCCCAGACTTAGAAATGATTTTAACAGTTTTAGAGAAGCGTTTCTGCCCCTTTTAAGGGTTCCCCTGTTAAATAACTGCACCCAGTTTGTTCAGATTCACTTGATAACTCAAATTCATTTGTTTGGGTAAATTTGCAGTGTACATCTTAAACAAAAAATAACTTTCACATCTGACATTACTAGAATTATTCTTGAGTTTTATTTAGGTTTCACCCAATTGTCTTAATGCCTTTATGAGCTCCTCCTTCTGGAGTTAGATTTCTTTTGACTCATGGGTTTCTTTAATGGCTAGTTAACTTCTAAACTTACCCATGAAAGTATTTTGAGATTTTTATGAAATTTATATTATTGGGTGCTAAGTATTTGTGATCACTTTAAATGGGACCATATTATTGGTTGCAATCTTAACTGAACTTTGAATTTTTTGTCTTTTGAAGTCCTAAGATGAAACATGAGACAGCTTTAAGTACAGTTTGGAATAAATGAGTAAAATAATGCAGTTACTGAATTCAGATTCACACTGGAGGCAAAAATTAAGGTCATACTGTAAACGCTTGGTTTTTACATGAACATGAACAAAAAGTGGTGTGCTCGAAAAAGACATTACTGATGCCTTTTTTTTATAGAGTGGATTGAAATGCCAGTCATGCCTGATATTTCAGCCCATTGACTTGCTGGATGAAGGACTAGAACACAGCAGCTGTTCTAGCACGACCAGTCAGTGTGGGACAGCTGTTTCCACGCAGCCCTTTTGTTTCACCAGACAGAATCTGAACACTTTCTTTCCTGAATTGTATATGACTTGGTGCTGCATGCATGCTGTTGACTTTTAGGACTTTGTTCTTTTAAAGTTTATTTTTCCCAAGCATTAATATTGATTTATAAAAATTTGAAAATCTTTAATGAACCCGGATATTAAGATTTAAGCTCGAAAATTCATTGTTCAATTAAAGAAAGCCACAATGCTCTGTATGTTATCTGTGTGTGTGCATGCACTCAGGTGCCTTTTGTTTTATGAACAAATACATTTTATTGTACATGTTTTCTGTCTAAATCATTGTATAAAGTAATTACAGGTCAGAATTATACCACAGAATATTGATGAGAGGCTTGTTTCTGTTGCACATTTCTTGAACATTTTTAAAATAACATGTAACCTATAACCTTATTTAAGTTTTCCTTTCTATTAATACTCTCTCCTGTGGCCCCATGCATGCTCCTTCCCCCTAGAAATCCTCTCTGCTGCACCCACAGCATCTGTTCCTGAGGAGTTAGGATCCTTAATTTTCTGTAGGGCTGAGGCTCTTAGCCACCAGCTACTGTTCCAGGACTTTTGAGTCCAAGATCTCCCTAGTTTTGCCATGTAGTATTACACTTGTATACAATTAGTTTATCCAAGATGAAAAAGGGGGTGATGGACCAGTTTACTGCTTAGAAACAGCAAGAGGCACTGCTGTAAACTTTATTTCTTATTATAAACTAACATGCTTTTGTTTCCATTGGGAAATTTTTCATTGTTAAGACCCACTTATTAGACTGGCAAAATTAAGAGCAAAATACAGAGATACCTATTTGGCATTCATAAGGTGATTAATAATATGCACCAAATTGGGAGGGGGCTATCATAATCAGTGTTATTTATTGCTTTGCTACCTAAGCAGTAAAACATGATATTGACCCCTTGGAGAATAGAGGGGATTATTATAAATTACCAAGTTACAATAAATTTGCACACAGATAACATGCATGCTATATATCAAATCTCACATTAAACGATTTTAAAATAAGCAGTGCCTTTCAAAACAGATGCAGACATGTGTGTTGGTGGTAGTGAGGAGATTGGTATTAGCATCAAATCTTCATTGATGACTAATTTTTAATTCCCTTCCTTTTATCTTTAGGTATGGCTTTCCCAGCGAAAGGCTAAGAATTCAAGATCGGTCTTAACTGAACCCTCATCAAATCTGAATTTAACAAATGCTTAGTCTCAGCAGCCTCCGGGGAAAAAGCTTAGCCTAGCAGTCAGTGGCTTACTTGCACTTTTTGCACATAGATATAAAGTAAAACCATGTTATTAATTTGGTTTAGTCTGTAATATGACAAAGTAACGGTAATTTATAAAGGAGTGTATAGTAGTGTACTGACTGCTAAGTGTACTATACTGTTTGCTTTACTAATCACCTAATTCATTGCAGTTCATACTTATTGACTCAAAGTTTTAAACCACAATCTGTAGGCTTTAAGAATTGCTTTTAAACCTTTTTAAATAATAAACTCTGGAAGTGGTCTTAAGGTTAGCAAATAATTGTCAGTATTAAACATGGCATTATTTAAGTAGTCCTGCTGCAAGAAAGGCACTTCAGTGAATATGTGACTAGTAAAGCTCAAATATGTTTGGATCTAATAGAGTCACGAAATACTGTAACTTGGGGATTGTAAATGAATGGATAAAATAGGTTAAGGCCAACATGTTTGAAATGAATGCAATATTAATAGATGCATATATATGTGACATATAATGGTTAATTTTAAAACTACTGTGCCTTAACGTGTTTCTTAAAACAAACTTTTGTAGTAAATGAACATTTGAAAGAAATCCATTTTGATAAACCTGCTGTTAATGTTTTTTTCCCCTTCTGTATGTTTTCTAACTTTGTCTTGGTAATTGCAATTTAACTAGGTGCGGTGGCTACTAAAGTTCGAAGGCACGATATGCGTGTCCATCCTTACCAAAGGATTGTGACCGCAGACCGAGGTTAGTTTAGTTCTGCAGTTCTTGTTTATAAGAAATGCGTTGGATGTCCATAAAATTTGCAACACCACACCTGATAGAAAAATGTAACTGCTTACCTGTACACTGTTTCTTTTCCTTTTCTAAATTCTTTTATAATAATTGACAAATTTAAGGGTTGGGTTTTTTGTTTTCTTTTTTTTTTTTTTGCTCCCTTTTTATTTTAACTTATTAAATCTTCTATTACTATGATTTATTTCTACTAAAACATAAATTAGTCAATTTGGGGAACTATTAAATTTTTATTTTGCCTTAACTAGTTTTCATTAATAACTTTTGCTAAAATTTACCTTTTAATCATTCTGAAATTTTGGGTTGGTATTGCAAAATGAATTGAATGGATGGTGCTTTAATGAGAGAAGTAAAGGAATATATGCCTCCTGTGTACTTTTGGAGAAAACTGAAGATTTAGTTTCCATTTCTCTTTGTAATAAAACACTTGAGCCACTGTATAAACATGAGGGTATACATGTCAAGTACTTAGCTGAAATCAACAAAGTCAGGACTGTGAAGATAACTTTCATGTAGTTGGATTTTTTTTTTAATAAATTAGAAAATCAGCTCCCTCTTATTCTTACGTTTTCTTGCCAAAATGGATCCTTTGATTTTTGTCATTTGCTGCTAAAAATTATTTGAAGGTAGATGATCTCCTCAAGTTCTGTGGTGTGTGAGATCCAGCTTTTGGATATCCTTTTGGACTGACCTGTGACTGGAAAATAAGTCTTCATTTTTCTCCTTTGAACATTTGTAATTTGTGTCCTATATTTGCCCTTGGACCCTTTTATAAATTATTTATGCTTATGGAGAAGTGATATTTTCGGTTTATTGACATTGAATGGTTTTTGTTTTTTCATCAAAAGATAGGGAAACCCAAGCATGGTTGAAAAGCATCTTCAAAACTCTTCTGTTAGAACACATTTATTACTAATTAAATGGGTTAAAGACTCTTAATATTATTAGGGGAAACTGATGAATTTATACTCCATTTGTACATCCTCTATCAATTTGATCAGACAAATATAGACCGCTATCATACCAAACAGAACTTGTCACCCAACTGCTGCAATAGTACCTCCAGGGCCCGAGGCTGGGTTGATCTACCTAGTGCTTCATGGTTACCTGGAGTACTAATGATAAATACTGGACACAGTTGTTGTCCACATTAGAAATAAAAGATTTTTCCAGTGACCTTGATGACATTTATTTAGCATCACAATAATGAGAGATCCTTGTAAACTTTTAATGAATATAATTTGTAGTGATTTTTCAATGAACTCTGAGTAGTAGACTCCAAGTTCAGTGATTATCTATGAAAATAGTGCTCCTTTTTAAAGAAGTATTTTCATTTAAGATTTTTCTATCCCTGTATGCCCTTCTTTCAGAGACTTGTCTTAATTTTAACACAGTAATTATTGGTTTATTTATTTCTCCAATGCCTTCAGATAGTTGAAAATATTAGAGGAAGATTTTATTAAGTATTTGGAAAACAACAACACATTCCATGCATGGCTCTTTTGTAGTGATATGTATTTTGATTAATTTTGCTACTTTCAAAATGCAATGTCAGCAAACCGAAATGCTGTTTTTTTTTTGTTTTTTTGTTTTTTTTTAAATAGTAACAATATTCATTCATTCTTATTATCACTATGTGCACTCTTTGGGTCTAAGGGAGATGTCTGAAGCCTTCACTTAAATTATTTTATTATACTACTGTTTTCTCTATTTTTGAGGTTTTTTTTTTATTTTTAAAAGTATTTTGAAGAGAACTTATTATAAGCATTTTGGATGAAAGAAAACTCAGCCCTTGGACATATAACCATGTAATTCTATATGATCATTTAGAGTACTATGTGATAGACAAATATCTAGTTCTTTACTAAAAATAAACCCACCTCTACAAATATTTCAAAACTAAATTTAAAGCCTTTAAGACCAAGTGACTTTTTAGTTGTAATGAAATATATAAATGGTTTTGCACAGTTGACATACCTGTGTGTACTGTATGAGACCAGGACTTGGCAGAGGATATATTTTAGGTGTACTGGTATATATAAATGGTAGTTTGCTTTGTTTTTCTCCTCCACAGCCCCCACAATCAGAAATTTTTCTGAATAATGATTTTACAAAAACCATTACTTACATAATTTGGATAAGCTTAAACCATTTTAATCAGAATTTTAAGTAATATCTAAAATGCTTTAAAATTCATATTTTGGAATACCTGTGAAGAAGTAGTGTGACTACATCATATTAAATATTTATTTTCTCCTTTGATTTTTGGAAGAGCAGTTCTAAAAATATTACATAAAATTCTACTTTTTAAGACATTCTGGGAAGATTTGGTCACAATGAGGATACCATATTTTTGTAGTATTTATAAACTATCCTAAATGATAGACTATAGTAGAAACATTTTCCTCATATGAAGGTAAATCAGTCCATCATAGAGATCATTTAAACTCTGTGAACTTTATGCCTGCTGGGTTTCAATTTATGAAGTGGCACAGAATCTTAACTTTGCACTGAGTATCTTTTCATTCACATCTCCTCTGCCTTAGTCACAATGGCAACAGTACAGAAAATTCTATCAAACCTCAGAATATAGTAGAAATAATTAAGCTGTTGAATATGAGTCTTAAAAATCATACTACTGTTAAGTGGACCAAGTTTGGTGAAGCAGAATGTGACAGAGGTTGGTTAAGGAAGGAACAACTCAAGGACATTGGGAATGATAACTTTTCCACTTGAGAACTACTTTATGTTTTACTGTAATTTAAAAAAAAAACAACAAAAACTTTTTTTTGTTCTTTTTGTTATTTTGCAAAAGAAAATAGTATTTACAGGTGGCTTCTTTTAAAATATAAAAATATAAAGCAGGAATGTATATGAAATGTCAGATTTTATTGTATTTGCAGAGTATTAGCTTTGAAATTGAATAAAGAAAGCTGTTTGTAGATTTAAAATGCCTTATTGGTATCAATTAGAAATTTCTTCTATTTTTTTGATGTACTTAGAGCTCTTTGAGGTATAGAATTTTAAATGGCAGGATTTTACAGTGTTTACATGCAAGTGCATTTTATAAGTGTTCTATATGTGTAAAATAGTATTTTCAACTGGAAATTGTTGGCCAGTGCAGAAGGCCTGGCCTTTTTCTAGTTCCCATGATGTTGCCTACACTGCTAGACTACAGTATTGCTTTGTATCATGAGGCCAAGAAACTCCATGTTGTTTGTAAATAGAATAATTGAAAAAGCAATAAACATTTATTGAACAAAAGAAACCTTGTTTGGCCCAGAGTTTATGTTGAACCAAATTGCTCATAGAAATTTAAATTTCTTTAGATTCATTTCTGTTAATCATCAGTTATTAATAATCACATCCATCATTAATAGTTGCTTTAATGCTTGCATCTGAGAGAGTACTAATGCTTAATAGCAGTCAGATACTGATAACTGCACTGACTGTTCAAAATTCTGTATATCAAACCTATTCATCATTGTTTTCCAATTTCTTTCATTGACTGCTACTAACTATTAGTTGTTAGTTGTATTTTATTTCTATTTTTTCTGTTAACCAATTTTTTTTCTTTTGTGGGAGTGGGCTCCTCTTCATTTGTTCAAATCATGATATGAATTGTCATGATTTTTATTGTATTCTGTAGATGGTGTCAATCAGTTTGTCAGAATTAAACATGCTTTTTTTTTTTATTAGTTGTGATTAGTTTTTCATGTTGTCATTAAGCCGTCACTAGCTGAAACTAATCTCTTCTCTATCTTTTCTTTTCTTTTTTTTGTTTTGTTTTTTGTTTCTAACCACCCAGCCGCCACCGGCAACTAACCTATGACCTTCTGACCTCTGAACTCTTCACCCAATGATGACCTGACCATGCCTGCCTGCTGATCAGTTAACTGGTAATCGCCTTTGCTTGCCTGTCGTCAGTGCAGCGAGCTGAGGCACTTGTCCGTTCGTCTTACCATCTAACCAAACAAAAGACAAAGAAATTGTTGTCCTCCAACTCAGCTTTTCCCCCCCCGTTTGGGTGAAAGTGGTTCTAGAACCTGCACTGAATAGTAGTAAAGCAATAAGGCCCAATTCATCCCACAGCACTGATCATCTTTCAATGTCCCACCCCAAGCGAACGGTAAGAAGGCCTCCTTAAGAAGGGAGACAGATGGCCCTTAACTACTCAGTGACAGAGGCAGTTACTGTGAGAGACTTCTAGGAACCTTTTCTTCTCATAGCGAAGTCAAGCTCTCTCTGAATGTACTGTGTGATGATGCATCATGCATGAACCTTTGGTCAGGGAAGTCATTGGTGAAGTGATTCAAAAAGTATTCAAAATTTGATATACTGTTCAGTCACTACAGTGCCCTCAAAGGGCAGAAGTTGCAGCCTTTTTTATATTGCCTGCCAAATTTGAAGTATTAGAAGAGTGTGCCATGAGAGAAAAACTTAACAAGGAGTTTTGAAAAGTAATGCAAAGAACAAAACTGCAACACTATTTTTTAAAAGATGGATATCTGAGTTAAAATTACAGAACCTTTATTTTACACCTCCTTAAAAAATTTTTTGAGAACAAGGTACATGCATTATGTGTCACATTACTGGGCAAACTGTTCAAGTATTTTTTTTAAACCTCCCTGTATAGAAAAAATCATTAAGGATGTAAAAGCCATGCTTGCCTATTTGCTGTATACATGTAATGAAATTGTAGATAAAGTGTAGTGCATTGAAACAAATGAACAAAAAGTAGATACTTTTACTATACAAGGGTGCTGGTGCAGAAAAAATATATATATTTTTGGAAATGTAGCATTTTATACTTTCAAGTGTTATAAAAAAAAGAACAAAGAAACCCTTTATTTCATTAAATGATTTTTTCTGGTGGTTGTCAAGAAACAAAAGACCAAAAGAGCCTTTTTGTCTTTCTTTTTTATTTTTTAAGTATTGGAATAAGTCTAAAGAAAAGAAAGTGCCTTATTTTCCTTCATGGTCATTTAGTCAAGTGTCTTGTAAGATCAGCTCCTCCCTCAAAATAAAAGTAAATGCATGTTACTCAGTCGCCCAGTATGTGAAAGAAGATGAGAGGGGGACAAATGAGTTGAGGGTTTGAATTGTATGATTTGTGCCACGTTACCTTGATGCAAATTTGCCAAATCTGATACTGTGAAAAAAATTTGAATAACTTTTCTAATATCTGACCTAGTAAGTTTTTAAAAACATATCATAATTGAGTATTTTTGGTTGTTACAAACTTCAATGTTAACCTAAAGAATTCTGAAAAATTATGTGAGATCTGAACACCAGTTTACAGGCAAAATTAGAGCTTTATTGTATTTGGAGATGAGAGATGCATTGGATTTTTTTCGTAATGGAGATAATAGTCTACTTAGCAAACTTTTTCACAAAAATGAAATTTTTTTTGTGAGTTTCATTCTGGAAAAAAATAGTGTTTTTAAATGACCCAAATTTAATGAGACTTGTTTATAGCATACAGATAACTGGCATAGTCAAAGTCCATCTTCTGCTGGCTTTAGCAATCTCCCTCCTTCTTCCCACATATGTCCTTTTTGTCACCTTTTTTAACTTCAAAAGAATATGAAAAAGTAGCATCATTGTGCATATGAATACTGAACTACATTTCAGTTTAAGCTTCCAATTTCTCACAAAGTGCAGTTTTATAGTTGAAACAATTTGCATATAAAAGCTACATGTAAACACTTGAGGAAATCATTAACTGCTCAGTACCAGACGTGGCAAATCTCAAGTGACAGTGGACTCCCAGCTCATCAGCTCGTTCCCTCTTCCATACCTTCATGGCTTCATAGTCAAGGTCAGCAGGAAACTCAGTTGGCACCTTCATGGTGACCTCTCCATCAGCTGTCTGTCTCACTTGGAACAGTTTTCAGTTTATTTACTATGCAATAGACAGTTGTTGTTTTATATTCAGCTAGTTTTGGTTTAATGTGCCACTGCTCTTTCTGTTACACATGCCATTGTTTTGATTTATTTACAATATATGCCTTGCCATTTTGATTTTAATTTTGTTTGGTTGGTTGAATAAATTGCGACACTCAAACACTTGAGGTGATAGTTAAAAATTATACCAGTATTTGATCCAGCTTCATCTCAACTATGTTAAACCTGGACATTTTAGATGTTTATCAAAGGTCTTTTATGGGGAAGAAAGTAAACGTATGAAATAATAAAAGTGTGACATGAGTAATGTCGGCTCTGAACAAACTTTTAATAACTTAGTTGACAAAATTTTGGATCAACTTAAAAGAAGCATGACTTTTGAAATCTGAATGCCTTGGTTCTCAGTATTATCATTCTTTTTGAATTTATTTCTTATTAAAGTATGTAGTTTTTAAGACTTTTTTCTGACAGTATTATGTAATTTTTAGTGTGGGTAGATGGGAGTGTCGCTGGTATATTAATGTACAGCTGACATGTATTTTTGTCTATTCTTTATTATCTTAGTAGTTTTCATGCTCTATATGTACCATAACCAACCTATTGCCTATGAGAAACATGTAAGATAATGTATTTACAGCCATTGTTACAAGTTTATAATGTATTTTTCTATCTTGTTTTATATGTATGTTATATAACATTCAAAAAGAATTTTTTTCTTGATTGAGAAAAGGATACAAAATGCAAAATCCACAATTTTGATAACTGAAAATTGCCAATTGTTTTGCAGTACTTTATTATATTGGGTGTCTTGTCTTTCTTGGGCTTTTAGTTAGCTGATGAATGAATACATTAATTAGACACTTTTGGGTTTTAGTTGGGATTTTACATAGCTTGCATTTTAATTCTTTGGTTCTTTGCTGTTTCTATTAACCCATAGCATTATTTTAATAAATGTTATAATACCAACCTACTAACTCTGGACTATGTCTGTTTATTAACCTTTACATGTTTAATTAAAATAAACAAATAAAGACAAAAGAATGTAAAGTCTTGAGTTCCTGGACTAACCCTGAAGACCGTGACCACAGATAACATAGCGTGACTTGTTTTGTGTTGTTTGTCAGCTGACAGTTTCGCACACTACTGTTCAAATGGCTTTGGTTATTCTGGCCTTCTACTTCGGGTGTAGGTGCCAGTGGAGATGAGAACAAAGTAGCATTCGTTCGAGGCATTCTTCTCCTGGTCATGCCACTTGCCTTTCAGCATCTGCATTACTAATTCCACACTTCTTATTTTTTCCTTCTCCAAAATAATCACTGTCTGCTCACAGCATACAGAGTAGAGATTCAGTGTGATGACATGCCCTGAGAATACAGTTTCATTCATTGAACATTCATTTTAATTTCTATGAGTAGGTGATTTTATGGTCACATCATAAAGCAGAGAATTTTTGTATTAAGATGTTTATTTTAACATGGTATTTTTCCTTTGTAAAGCATTGAATTTGTTTAGCCAGCTGTTTCTTTTAGAGGAATTGACATAGGTAAGGCTAGAGGCAAATTGGGTCTGTTTTTCCTAATAGTGCAGAGTAAGTGATGAGTAACCAGGATGATGCAGCCCCACCTCTTCCTCACCCAGCCTTCAGTGAATGATGGAGCTTTTCTCAGGTGTTTTTTCTGACCCACTTCCAAAACACAGCCAAGATTGATGCAAGAAATTTAAGGGGGAGGAACACTGAGATTTGAAAGGTTAGGTGTGATTAATTTCTTGCATGCAAATCAATCAGAGAAGATTTCTTAAATATCCTGCTTTTCGTGGCCTGTGTAAGTGGACCTCTAAATCTTGACTTCTTGAGGTGTGTTTATGTCACAGATTAGTAATAGCCTTTTCTGTGAAACAATTTTCCTGCGTAAGAAAAAAAAAATTCTCAGGATGAATTTTGCATTTGTAAATAGTGGTTTATTTTTGTAAATTATATTTTATTTATTTAAGAGTTCTAAAATTTAGGGCTGAAATGAGTTACATGTCATAGTCATAATTATATCAATGTGCTTCTAGCCAGATTATCAAGATATTCCTTGTTTCGTATATGTTTATGCATATATGAAATTATCAGAATAGTGATAATTTAATCACCAATGAAAAGGTCGTTTGGGTTATGTCATTTCTCTGATGGAAAAAGTAGGCAATGTATCATTGTTAGGTAGGCAGATCTTTAATATGCTACTTATCTGTTGAAGTTCACATTGCCATAACAAGTTTTCATGTATTATTCTGTGAAAATTTGAAGATGCCTGTCAAGCTGCTAATATACCAGTTGTGGTACCATGTCACTTAAAGTGATGAAGAATTTCTATGCAA